TCCTATGGATCCTTTCTCTCTTTCTCTTTTTTTTTTTTTTTTTCCTTTTCAGCTCTTCTTATGGATTCTAATTTTGTTATGGATTAGCTTTGGTTTTGGATTGGTTTTTGATTAAATAAGCTCTTTGATTCAAGACAGTCTTAGTTCGTGGAGTCAGTTTAATTTTGTGCGTTCTACCCACAAACCATTCCACTCATCTCCCCCCCCCCCTTCCACTCCATCTCTAGTCTTCTATTTCTTTGCTCTCTTCATCACTGTAATTTCTTGGTCGCAGGTAGAGGTTGTATTTTGAATGGCAAAGAGAGTTGGCTCGACAGGGAAGTAATGGGAAATCACTAAATCTGTTGTTGGAAGGGAGTTTCGTTCCTCGAGGGGAATTTACTAGAGATAGAATTTGTAGCTATTTCAACACCACTTGCTCTCTTCATCATCGTAATCCTTCTTTCGCCGACAACATATCCTTATTGGTGGCCTGGTGCAGGTAAAATCCCTAACTCTCTCTCTCTATCCTTTCAGGATACATTTGGAGCATAGGTTAGGATTGGATGAGATAAGATTCAAATAGTAGGATTGGATTGGATTGGTTTAGATTCAATCATTTAAAAATCTAATCACATTGTAATATCCCAAATTTTCAGGAATTCTAGCATTTAAGTTGAGGACCTTTGTGTGAGAAAATATTATTTTGGGGCTTAATAATCAAAACTCCAAAGTTGAGGGACTTAAAAGAAAGAAAATTTGGATAAGGATCAACTTCTTTTCTTTTTCTTTTTCTTTCTTTCTTTCTTCCTTAGCCGTGCAGTTCTGCTCTCTATCTTCCTGATGCTTGCCTCCCGAAAGCCCCCCAAGCCACCGACGCACCCTTGAAAAAAAAAAAATTGGCAAAAGCTTGATTTTTGTTCCATCTTTTCTTGTTCAAGAACCCATTTTCGGACCTAGAGTCCCTCTAAAGCAAAGGAATTTTTCAAATCTAGCTGCTGTTTCCTCCCCCCTCCGTACACTGCTATTGCCGCAATTCCGTGACTCCCCTGCATTTTCCGTTAGGCCCCCAAACCCGCCAGCTCCAATTTCTGCTGCTGCTGGGAAATTCTAGTAGGTGACAGCTTAATCTAAGCCAAATTACCCCTTTAATTGCTGAATTTGTCCATTTAATTATTGCCCCATGTGCTGTCCGAATTTTGTTGAATTAGGGGAAGGAATTCCAGTAGCTTTAGGACAAATTTAAGCATTAATTCAAGTGGGATTTAGGTGATTGAGTGTTAATTAGGCTGCTGTGATGTTTGGGAGAGAAAATTTCGTGTGTTTGAGTGGCGGTTGCCAAAGCCATGCTCTCCATGTGCTGCCCGTGAGAAATGGGGATGAATTTGACAGTATTTAGACTAGGTCAAAGCCCCTATTTGCACCCTCCATTTATTTTTTTTTTACGGTCAACACCTTCCAGAATTTTTCCTCCCTATTCACACCTTTCACTTTTCAAAACCCGTGAAAAACTCAATATTTTAACGGGCCGTCACGGTACCGTTAAAAAATATATTACGTGGCACCCAAAAATCGACGTGGCACTATGTAACGTTAGTAATCCAATGTGGACGTCACGTATACAGTAAAAATAATAAAAAATTACAATATTACCAAACAGTTACATAAATGACATTTTTTCTTTTTTTTTCTTTCCCCCCTCATCCTCGGCATCATCTTCACCGCCCTCCATCTTCACCATCCTCTTCTTTCTCAATGGGTTCCTGTGCGGAACCCAATTCCAACCTCCTTTTTTTTTTTTTATTTTAAATGTATTTATCTTAGCTTTCGATTTTATGCAAAATAATTTGGAATAATTTTTTTTTTGTTGAAAAAGTGAGTTTTTTTGCTGGGAGATTGTTTCTGAATAGGTTGCCAATTTGAGTTTTTTTTTTTGTTTTTTGTGGAAAAGGAGTAAAAGATGCTTATCATGTTTTTGTGCAGTATTCATTTATTTATAATTGTGTGGATGAAAATCTTAGCTTGCATTCATGTGAAATTAGGTTCTACGAAGAACTCAGAACCTGGGTTTTGCGAGGAACCTAGGGGATGAGGATGAGGATGAGGATGGTGAAGATGATGCTGGGAAAGAAGAAAATGAAGAAATTAAAATTAATGATGATTTAATTATAACACATTATAAAAAAAATTTCTGGGTACCTGGTTCCATGAGGAACCCAGGAAGATGAAGAGGAAGATGGTAAAGATGATGCGGGAAAGAAGAAAATGAAAAAATTAAAATTAATTATGATTTAATTATGCCGTATCATCAAAAAAAAGTCCACATTGGATTATGTTACTGTTTGATGCCACGTATTACAATTTTTAATGTTTATTAATGGTACCGTGACGGCCCGTTAAAATATTGGGTTTTTCATAGGTTTTGAAAAGTGGAGGGTGTGAATAGGGAGGAAAAATTCTGGAAGGTGTTGACCGTGGAAAAAAAATAAATGGAGGGTGCAAATAGGGGCTTTGGCCTTTAGACTATGATTTAGCTTAATTCATGTGGAAAACTAGTTTATTTTGACTGTTGTGAGATTTTGGAGAAAAATCCCGTGAATTAGCTAGTGTTTTGGCCAATTTTTGGAAGTTGTAGTTACTGTTCATTGCGTGATCACTGTTTGCAGTACTGTTCATGGTACTATTCACGGGCTGATGGCCAACAATTAACGGGGATTTAAATGTTTAGTTTGTGATACAAGAATAAATTTGGAGATGTCCGATCATATGAAGACTAATAGAAATAGCATTGTGATTAGGGGTGATCCTAATTAAGTTTTACTTTGAATTTGTGATAGTACGGTATTAATTTTGGAATATTTTGATTAGGTTCCTGATCATTTTATCAGTTTAGCACTGAGATCGAGTCTTCGGTTTTATGCGAGTGAGGTAAGTAAATTATGGTAACGCCCTTCGATTTTAAAAGTATATTTTAACTTGTTTTTGAAGTGGTGGCGGGACTAAACCCGTTTAGACAAAATAAGCATGATTAATTTGAAATAAATTTTTATGCTTTTCATT